CACTAGATCAAACTGGCTCCAACCTCCAGTGGCCTCTGGGCGTTCAGCCACTGTGATGGGCAGAGGCAAAATATTCAGATATTTTATTTCCAATGTTGAGGGGACATGGGAAGCATTTATACCCAAAACAGGCATGCAAAGTATTCCACCCACCGAAGAATTCATTTTATATGATCCACTCAGAGACTGTGATTCAGGCGGGCTATAAATTATATAAATAATTTACTGTTTAATTCTTAAATATCCCTCTTCCCAAAGTATGCCCCAAATCACAATTTTCCTACAGAATTTTGGTTAGACATTCCTGGCAGTCTGGGGAACCATATGTGGCTTACAGATTGTTTAATATAATGCTAGAGGAAAGGCAGGATATAAATAATGACAATCAGCAGTCCTAAATCTCTTTTCACTAAGTTCCATCTATTAATGTATAATTTCAAAATTTAGGTTAAAAATCTCCTAAAGGGATGTTCTGCTTTGAATTCTTCAACCATTCAGAAGAATGTCAAGAGCAGTCAAACTGACAGGCACTATCCTAAAATAAAGCAAAAGATGGATGTTTCCTATGTAGATGCCTCTCTGTATTGGAGACCTTTCAATTAATGGAGTGCTATAGTCTACCAATGATTGGAAAAATTGCATTTTCCTGGGACTGAATGAAAAAGATTTTGTCAAAAGCCTGGCATATCAGAGTATATAGCTAACAAACTCATATGCTTGGTCACAGATTATGTGTGTGTGTCTCTCTCTGTGCGTATATGTCTATGTATACAGGGTGTACCAACTGTCAGGACCAAAAGGCCAATCACAATATGTTTTATTAATTTTTTTTGTCAGAGAAAATGTCACGTGTCAAACAAGAAAGGAAGTGTTTAGAAGAAAATGGCAACCTTCAAACATTTAATATAATTTATATAATAAATTGTCTATGGGGACTGACTTTTGGTACGATAGATAGATAGATAGATAGATAGATAGATAGATAGATAGATAGATAGATAGATAGATAGATAGATAGATAGATAGCATTTATACCCTATATAGCAGCAGAGAAGCTCACAGTTGATTTGCCAACCCAATCAACCTTGCAAGTTTAAAACCATGAGAATCAAATGAGGGGAGATTGGCCCTCCCGGCACACGTGTAATGCTGTATGATCCT